TTGGGGGAAAAGAAGGGAAACCAACTATTGGTTGGGATATGTTATAAACCACCTAATGTTAATATTGACGAGGAACAACAGCTGTTTGAGCAAAGTGAGAAAGCTGCAAATCTGGGTAACACTTTCATTATTGGAGATTTTAATTACCCGGATATAAATTGGGACAGAGGGACTAGTGCCTCAGCAAAGGGAATTAGGTTTTTAAACTTGTTAAATGACACCTTCATGTCACAACTTGTGCAAGCCCCAACTAGAATGGATGCTTGTCTGGACCTGGTTTTAACAAACAACGTTGATCTTTTGACCAACATTCAAGTAGGTGAGCACTTGGGAAATAGTGATCACAATATAGTGTCCTTTGAAATAAACTCAAAAAAACAAAAGCACATGGGGAATACTAAAACATATAATTTTAAAAAGGCCAATTTCAACAAGTTAAGGGAAGCTTTACAATATATTGACTGGCATAAACTCTTTAGTGAAAAGAACACTGAGGATAAATGGATCATCTTCCAACAAATATTACAAAGGCACATTTCTCAGTATGTACCGTTGGGAAATAAATATAAAAGAAACAAATTAAAACCAATGTGGCTTAGTAGAGAAGTAAAACAAGAGATTACAACTAAGAGAAGGGCATTTAAAGCATTTAAATCGGACAAATCAGATGCATCTTATAAAAGATATAAGGATGCAAATAATGCGTGCAAAAAGGCAATTAGGCTTGCTAAACTTCAAAATGAAATAATGATAGCTGAAGAGAGCAAAACCAACCCCAAAGCATTTTTTAAGTACATAAATTCTAAAAAAAAACAAAATGAAAGTGTAGGTACACTAAAAACTGAAACGGGGTGTTAATTAATGAAGACCAGGAAAAGGCAGGAATTTTAAATAACTATTTCTCCTCCGCATATATTAAGGAAGAACCCATGGCAATAGATGTGCAAATGATTGCTACTAAAAACTTGCAGAATAATTGTAATTGGTTAACTCAAGACAAGGTGCTGCAGCAACTTAAGAAAGTTAATATAAACGAAGCTCCAGGGCCTGACGGTATCCATCCACGTGTACTTAAGGAACTAAGTGCAGAAATAAGTGAACCTCTGTTTTTAATCTTTCAAGATTCTTTTCTTTCAGGAAGTGTTCCGGAGGATTGGAGGAAAGCAGATGTGGTTCCTATATTCAAAAAGGGTACAAAATCCCTGCCTGGAAATTATAGACCTGTGAGCTTAACTTCTGTGGCTGGTAAAATATTTGAAAGGTTATTAAGATAATATTCAAGAATTCCTTGAGAAGAACATGGTTATCAGCAAAAATCAGCATGGTTTTATGAAGCACAGGTCATGTCAAACTAACTTATTTTCGCGCTCTAACAAGAAGTAAGTAGAAGTATAGATCAGGGTGTTGCCGTGGATCTATTTGATTTGCCATGACGGATAAGGTTCACCAATAGATTAGTGTTCAAACTCAAGGAAATCGGCTCCAGATGAAAATGCTTGTTCTGCCTTTAAAACAGAGTACAAAGAGTTGTCATTACGGTAAATTTTCAAGCTGGACAGAGGTATAGTGGTATCCCTCAGGGTCTGTTCTGGGATCCCTTCTATTTAACACATGTTTATACATGATCTGAAGACCCATTGAAAGTCATGTTTCCAGTGTTTGCAGATGACACCAAACTTTGTAAAAATAATACAATGTGAGCAAGATATTACTTTGCTGCAGAGGGATTTAGATAGACTGGGGACTGGGCACCAAAATGGCAGATGAAATTTAATGTTGAAAATGCAAAGTTATGCACTTCGGCGTAAAGAATACACAAGCAACGTATACCCTTAATGGAAGCGAATTAGGGATAACAACACATTAAAAGGACTTGGGAATTGTTATAGACAACAAACTATGCAACAATGTGCAATGTCAATCAGCAGTGGCCAAGGCCAGTGAGGTATTGTCATGCATGAAAAAGGGCATTCATTCTCGGGACAAGAATATAATTTTGCCTCTTTATAAATCACTGGTAAGACCCCATATTGAATATGCTGTGCAATTTTGGGCACCTGTTCCAAAGAAGGATATAATGGCACTAGAAAAAGTGCAGAGGTGGGCTACAAAATTAATAAAAGGAATGGAACATATCGGCTATGAAGAAAGGTTAACAAATTTAAACCTATTTAGTTTAGAAAAACGTCGCCTGAGAGGGGATATGATAACATTATACAAATATATTCAGGGCCAATACAAACCATTGTGTGGAAATCTATTCACAAACCGGACTTTACATAGGACACGAGGTCATGCGTTTAGACTGGAAGAAAGAAGATTTCGCCTAAGGCAAAGGAAAGGTTTTTTTACTGTAAGAACAATCAGGATGTGGAATGCTCTGCCTGAAGAAGTGGTTTTATCAGAGTCCATACAGATGTTCAAACGGCTACTAGATGCATACTTGCAAGAACAGAATATTCAAGGATATAATCTTTCAATGTAGGGTCCAAGGATAAATCTGACTGCCATTCTGGGGTCAAGAAGGAATTTTTTCCTAGCTTGTTGCAAAATTGTGCTTTAAACTGGGTTTTTTTGCCTTCTTTTGGATCAACAGCAAAAAATAAATGTGAGGTAGGCTGAACTTGATGGACGCAAGTCTCTTTTCAGCTATGTAACTATGTAACTATGTAACTATGTTCTGTGCCTTTTATAGCTCCATATAAGGGTTTCGCCAATATCGCGTAATTAGGAATCCATATCCTGCAGAATCCTGCTGCTCCTAAGAATTCTCGCACCTGTCTTCTATTCTTAGGTATCGGTATCCGACACACTGCTTCATTTCTTTCAGGTCCCATCATTCTTTGAGCTTTGGATATATGGAATCCTAAATGTTTAACACTTGGCTGGCACAATTGTGCTTTCTTCCTCGATACCTTGTATCCTGCTCTCCATAGAATATGAAGCAAATGTGGCTTGTTGGCATATCTCTTTAGTATCAGCTGCTATCAATAAATCATCCACATATTGAAGTAGTACACATTCTCCTGGGATGGACTTGAAATCTTGCAAATCCTGGCTTAATGCGGATCCAAATAGGGTAGGTGAATTCTTGAACCCTTGAGGTAGTCTAGTCCAGGTCATCTGACGCTTTGAACCTGTAACAGCATCTTCCCATTGGAAAGCAAAGATATGTTGACTCTCAGCAGCAATTCGAAGACAAAAGAAAGCATCCTTAAGATCTAACACTGTGAAGTAGGTTGCCCCACCTAGTATAAAGGCAAGCAGATTGTAAGGATTGGGTACAACTGGGTGTATATTAACTACCACATCATTAACTGCTCTCAAATCCTGTACAGGACGATATTCGTCCGATCCTGGTTTTTGAACAGGTAATAATGGAGTGTTCCAGGAGGAAGTACAGAATTTTAGGATGCCATACCTTACGAACTTATCCAAGTAGGTTTGTATGTTTTCCTTAGCCTTTTGGGGTATGTGATATTGATGTAGGCTCCCAGGATATGTCCCAATCTTTAGTTCAATATGTATGGATGGGATATTACCAGCAAGTCCTGGTGGATTATTCTCTGCCCATACTCCTGGAATGTTAAATAAGGATGCATCACTCTTAGGGTTAACACTTGTCACTATGGAATAGAAGCGCCATTCTTCTTCCCTTGGCACCGATATCGTCATTATGCCCGATGATCTCTTAAACTTCAGAGAAGTTGATCCATTAGGTAAAAAGGTTATCTGGGCTTGAAGCTTTGATAACAAATCTTGTCCTAGAAGTTAGATTGGATACTCGGGCATATATAGAAATTGGTGCTTCACCAAATGGCTTCCCAGAATGCAAGTGCGACTCTTAAGAACCGGTCTAGCAGTGCTCTTCCCAGTAGCTCCTATCACAGTTATAGTCTTCCCCGAAGGTGGAGCCACCATCTTAGTCACCACAGAATGTTCAGCACCTGTGTCGATCATGAAAGGACTTCTCTTTCCCCCTATTGCTACATCGACCATAGGCTCCGCTTGACCAAGGGGGATGGAGCCCGGTCGGTATCAATAGTCTTCCATGATAGTGTTAGCCAGACCCACAAAATCTCTATCCTCTCTTTCTCTAGGTCTCTGCGTGGGTGGATACTCAGTGTTCAAACTCAAGGAAATCGGTCTAGATGAAAATGCTTGTTCTTGGGTAGAACATTGGCTTAAAAACAGAGTACAAAGAGTTGTCATTAATGGTAAATTTTCAAGCTGGACAGAGGTGGCAAGTGGTGTCCCTCAGGGGTCTGTTCTGGGACCCCTTCTATTTAACATGTTTATAAATGATCTTGAAGACCGCATTGAAAGTCATGTTTCAGTGTTTGCAGATGACACCAAACTTTGTAAAACAATACAATGTGAGCAAGATATTACTTTGCTGCAGAGGGATTTAGATAGACTGGGGGACTGGGCACTCAAATGGCAGATGAAATTTAATGTTGAAAAATGCAAAGTTATGCACTTCGGCGTAAAGAATACACAAGCAACGTATACCCTTAATGGAAGCGAATTAGGGATAACAACACATGAAAAGGACTTGGGCATTATAGACAACAAACTATGCAAAAATGTGCAATGTCAATCAGCAGTGGCCAAGGTATTGTCATGCATGAAAAAGGGCATTCATTCTCGGGACAAGAATATAATTTTGCCTCTTTATAAATCACTGGTAAGACCCCATATTGAATATGCTGTGCAATTTTGGGCACCTGTTCTAAAGAAGGATATTATAGCACTAGAAAAAGTGCAGAGGCGGGCTACAAAATTAATAAAAGGAATGGAACATATCGGCTATGAAGAAAGGTTAACAAATTTAAACCTATTTAGTTTCGAAAAACGTCGCCTGAGAGGGGATATGATAACATTATACAAATATATTCGGGGCCAATACAAACCATTGTGTGGAAATCTAGTCACAAACCGGACTTTACATAGGACACGAGGCCATGAGTTTAGACTGGAAGAAAGAAGATTTCGTCTAAGGCAAAGGAAAGGTTTTTTACTGTAAGAACAATCAGGATGTGGAATTCTCTGCCTGAAGAAGTGGTTTTATCAGAGTCCATACAGATGTTCAAACAGCTACTAGATGCATACTTGCAAAAACAGAATATTCAAGGATATAATCTTTCAATGTAGGGTAATAACTGCTTGATCCAAGGATAAATCTGACTGCCATTCTGGGGTCAAGAAGGAATTTTTTTCCTAGCTTGTTGCAAAATTGTGCTTCAAACTGGGTTTTTTTGCCTTCTTTTGGATCAACAGCAAAAAACAAATGTGAGGTAGGCTGAACTTGATGGACGCAAGTCTCTTTTCAGCTATGTAACAAAACCTGGATTGTTGGTGGGTCTTGAGGACTGGTTTGGGAAACACTGGTTTAGTCGATAACTCCCTTATTTGTTATCCTTATGTGGGATTGCCATATTTAAGGATGCCCAATTAGGGAGCTATCTGCTAAAGACATACACATGTATATACATAATCAGAGATATACACACACACATTTAGTAATTATGAGGGCCAACCAGCCTCCCTCTGTGAGGGCTAGAGTGTATCCTCTCCCTGGTGGCCAGGGGTTGCTGCTGTGATGGGATCTTTGTAGTCTTCCTGCACATGTTCCTCGCTAGTCCAGCAGTGATACTGAGATGACATCATATCCCAGCTGCCGGCTTACTGCAGAAAGAGCACAGTAAGTAATGGGCTCCCTGCCTCCCTCGCTGCCCAGCAGCCCGGACAGCAAATGGGCTGCATTACAAGTGGCTCAGAGTTGGGCATGCCTGGTTTATAGTGATTATCTGAATATGAACAGTTACCAGGTTGGAGTCCCCATGACTACCCTTTGTTATGCCTAGACAGCATCATTGAAGCCCTTTGGTTGGCTCAGTGTAATAAAAACTGTAGTTCCCAGCTGACATTGTTGATACTCTGCAGAGATGAGTGTAACTGGGTTTTGCCAAGCTTGTGGCTGTTAGACTATAAAGGAAGACTATAGTGTTAGGTATACAAAACTGCTGGCAAAGGGTTAAAAACCTTTTTGTCACTTATCTGATTCCAGCGCCAATGTACCTCAGCACTGGGTCAGGCTCCTCCTCTGTCTCCGGGGGCATCCTGATATCCAAACAACTTCATTTAGATGAAGCTGTGTTGGTGCCTGAAGTGTCCCTTTGAAAACTTTTTACTTCACAAATTTGTAAAGTACTAAAAATTGTGTATACCCTTTAAAGTGGAAAAAACATACACCAATAGGTGAATAAAACGTGTAGGATAATTTGCCTATATGTATCTCCCACAATGTAGAAAATAAAGGACTCCTCCCAGTCCTCACAGAAAATACAAATAAAATATATATCTACAAAAGGGGAGAATAAAACAACTCATAGAGTAGTATATCAAAACCAATAAGTATATATGGTTCAAAGTTGCACTCACACAAATTGGTTGATTGTAGGCATGTAAAAATTATAAAGATGGTATAGAGATGGTATGAACTCTTCAAACTCCAAAAGAGGGCATGTGGGAAACAAGAAATTACACAACAATAAGTGCAGATTTAAAGGACCATATAGTGCGCTAGATTAAGTAACACTTACACACTAGAAGTGGTGTTCAGGCATATAATGGTCTCAGAAGGTTGTTACTCCAAGAATGGAATGTTACTCCTTGGTAATAGTATAGAAAATGTATTAAATGTGACAAAGCAAATAAAAATAAAAATAAAATTAAAAACCAATGAAATAAAAACAAATGTAAATCCCACAGGGGCCCAACCCTACGCATTTCGTCCGGTAACCCGGACTTCCTCAGGGGTATCGTATGTTAGCCTCTCCTCTTTCTAACAGCAGACCAATCCAATGCTGTGAACTGCGGCTGTAACACATCACTCCGGGATTGGATGACGTCATGCGTTCTTCCATACAAGTGGACGTGAACGTATGCGTTCCACCTATACGAGGACGTATACAGCGCTTGCGGGTCATTACTCGCATTGAATCAGTTCATACATCTCATAGACGCTCATAATTGGAAACAATATTGCAAAAAGATGTTACAAAATTATGTTACAAGAATCAAAACAAAAGGATATTTACATTTCAAGCGTTCTTTTAGACCTGCACTACCATACTTTTTAAAAAGAATAAATACAATATAATGTAATGTTCCAAAATAATACCAATCCTTTATCCTTTAAATTAATTAAAAAAACTGTTAAAACTTATACTCTTAAAGGAATTTGATTCCTATAAAACAAGATTGAATTACAAAAGACATGATCAAATTGAAAAAAACATAAAATCCATAAGTGAGAAATCAAATCAAAACAATAGGTAACAAACTCCAAATATATCAATATAAAAAGATAATTAAGCCTATATTAAAACACACTAAATCGAATTCTACATTCAGGTTTTTGTAAGGTTTTGTAAGGTTTTTAATCTATGAATCCAAAACCCTTCTCTTTTTCTTAATTCTAACATAATATCCCCCCTTTCATCTAAAAATACCTGTTCTATAGCTATAAAATTAAGGTAATTCGTAAAAGATAGGCAGGAATTGCAACGTGTGGGGACTGAGTGAGTGGTAATTCGTTTACGTACATTATTATAGTGCTCCAAGCATTCTACCTTCGGGTAGAAAAGCGAAGGTTAGATGCTTGGAACACTATAACAATGTACGTAAATGAATTACCACTCACTCAGTCCCCACACATTGCAATTCTAACTTATGGATTTTATGTTGTTTTCAATTTGATCATGTCTTTTGTAATTCAATCTTGTTTTATAGGAATCAAATTCCTTTAAGTGTATAAGTTTTATACATTATATTTTATGTATTCATTTTAAAAAGTATGGTAGTGCAGGTCTAAAAGAACGCTTGAAATGTAAATATCCTTTTCTTTTGATTCATAATGATAACATAATTTTGTAACATTATCTTTTTGCAATATTGTTTCCAATTATGAGCGTCTACGAGATGTTGTATGAACTGATTAAATGCGAGTAATGACCCGCAAGCGCTGTATACGTCCTCGCATAGATGGAACGCACACGTTCACGTCCACTTGTACGGAACAATGCATGACGTCATCCAATCCCGGAGTGATGTGTTACAGCCGCGGTTCACAGCATTGGATTGGTCTGCTGTTAGAAAGAGGAGCGGCTAGCGGGATTCAAAAAGAGTGGACACTAAAGAGCCATCAGACTGACTTCAAATTGAGGACTTAAAGGCACCTCTAGGCACCCAGACCACTTCAGCTTAATGAAGTGGTCTGGGTGCCAGGTCCTTCTAGGGTTAACCCATTTTTTCATAAACATAGCAGTTTCAGAGAAACTGCTATGTTTATCAATGGGTTAAGCCTTCCCCATTCCCTCTAGTGGCTGTCTCATTGACAGCCACTAGGCGCTTGCGTGCTTCTCACTGTGATTTTCACAGTGAGAGCACGCCAGCATCCATAGGAAAGCATTGAGAATGCTTTCCTATTTGACGCTGAATCGCGCGCTGCGCGCGCGCGCTCCATTCAGCGGCGGAGGAGAGGAGGCAGAAGCTCTCCGCCCAGCGCTGGAAAAAGGTAAGTTTAACCCCTTTTCCCCTTTCCAGAGCCGGGCGGGAGGGGGACCCTGAGGGTGGGGACACCCTCAGGGCACTATAGTGCCAGGAAAACGAGTATGTTTTCCTGGCACTATAGTGGTCCTTTAACAGACGATACCCCTAAGGAAGTCCGGATTACCGGACGAAATGCATAGGGTTGGGCCCCTGTGGGATTTACATTTGTTTTTATTTCATTGGTTTTTAATTTTATTTTTATTTTTATTTGCTTTGTCTCATTTAATAAATTTTCTATACCATTACCAAGGAGTAACATTCCATTCTTGGAGTAACAACCTTCTGAGACCATTATATGCCTAAACACCACTTCTAGTGTGTGTGTTACTTAATCTAGCACACGATATGGTCCTTTAAATCTGCACTTAATGTTGTGTAATTTCTTGTTTCCCACATGCCCTCTTTTGGAGTTTGAAGAGTTCATACCATCTCTATACCATCTTTATAATTTTGACATGCCTACAATCAACCAATTTGTGTGAGTGCAACTTTGAACCATATATGCTTATTGGTTTTGATATACTACTCTGAGTTGTTTTATTCTCCCCTTTTGTAGATATCTATTTTGTTTGTATTTGTAAAGTACTGCATTGTGATTTATTTCTTTTAATTGTTGTACCAGTACTTCTGACAACAGTACCTGTGAGGTAATACAGAAACATCCTGGACTCTGGAATATCGCTGAGGCTGAGATTTTAGACCTGCACAGAAGGCAGAGCATAGGGTGAGACATCATTCAGAGAAATATAGTGAAAAAAACTGTTCTGTGTATTATTTTAAACATGTTTGCATAAAGTGAAAAAAGGATGTTGAACAACTCGTTGCCAATACCTTATTTGGCTCAATATGATGCATATCATCAACAACTTACAATGAAAATTCTACATTTCAGTTGTACTTGCAATGCAGGGTTTGCATGTATTATTCCAGGGCTTGACAAACTTCTGTAGCCTTCAGGAGCCAGACCAAATCAGGAGCAAGAGAAATGAAACTTCCATAAAGTTTAATAAAATACAATCAAAAAACTTAGGAGCCAGCAGTAGCAATTTTAGGAGCCATGGCTCCCGGGATTTGTCGAGCCCTATGTTATTCTATTTATCTTTACTTGCAGTGCAGGTTTCATACATATTCTCCTGTTGATCTATACCTGCCGTTGCAGGCTTGCTTGTGTTATTCAGTTGATACCTGCCGTTGCAGGCTTGCATGTGTTATTCAGTTGATCTATACCTGCCGTTGTAGGCTTGCATGTGTTATTCAGTTGATCTATACCTGCCGTTGCAGGCTT